CTCCATTCCCACAACCCAGACGTTCAGGCCAGAAGACCCAGGCCAGTGGCACCGGGACCCGTCTTCCTTTCCAGGGTCCCCTGCGCCCTGGGTCTCTGGGCTGGCTGTCCTGGTGGGGACAACAGAGCGACTTTGGAGAAGAACCGTCTTGCAGACAATGCCCGGCACGTGCTTTCCGGCCTTCGGAACTCAGGGCGATGGGAGGGGCGTCCAGGAGCAGGCAGCACCCACATACCAAGACGTGCCTGTCATGCTCACCTCCCCTAGGCGTGCAGCATCCAGCCGCAGCCCCAGGCTTGGGGGAGCACTGTCGTGGTCAAACGGACAAGGCCCTTCACTCACAGCCTTTTTCTGAGTCTGCTAGAAGGCTGAGCACTTGCTGGAGGGGCAGAGAGTGGAAAAGTACACCCCAGAGGGAACGGCCACACTGCAGCCCCCTCTCAGGATTTGGGCACACGCGCACACATGCCTGGCATGATTCTCGAGCCCCCAGGTCTGGGACCCGGCCCCCTTAGCCGCCAGCTCCCAGCCCCCTCTGCTGCCCGCCGCCTTCCCAGGTGCGTACCGTCACCCAAGCCCCACAGCAAAGGCACCGCGGGAAGTCGTGACATTAGAGAGCAGGATGACCCTCTCAGGCAGGGAGGGGACGGACCAATACAGGGCATGCCCAGGGGCATTGCAGACTCAAGCCAGCACGCCTCCGGGGCACCCCGTGAGTAAGAGAAAGATCCGCCCCGCCGAGGGCTGGCCGTGCGCACGGTGCTCACGGCACCTGCAGCTTCCAGAGGGGGGTCTTGGGGGAAATGCCAGCTGTGACCACCTGCTGGTGAGAGGCCCAGAGCCCAGAAAGGCAGGGCCCGTTAGAGGCTGACTGTCAGAGGTTGGCCCATGTTCGGGGGCACAGGCTCCGAGGGCAGACCCCTGCCCAGTCACGGCTAACTTCAGAGCTGCCGCTGAACCCAGGCGTGGGGGCTGCCTGGGCCACGCAGGAGCCTGAACTTGGGGGCTCTGGTTTACCGTTGTCACCCTCCTGCCTTCCCGCCCCATCCTCTCTATGACACTTGACATTCTCTGTCGCTGTCCCCCTCCCCCCCGGAACGCCCTCCTCCTCCGGTTGCCATGGCAGCACAGGCTCCTCACCTCCTCCCCCCTCTCCGGCAGCCCTGCTTTCTCTGCCCCTGCTCCAGAGCCTGAGAAGCAGGGGTCCCGCACCTCCTCTCTCCTTCGCCCCAACCCTGGGCCTCCCGCTGGCCTCGCACTGCAGGCTCCTAGGGTCTCCACTGCACGTGCCACGGTCTAGACACCCTCACACAGCCCATGCATCCCGTCTGGGCACCGTCTGAAGGCAGGGCCACTCTGCCGGGAGGAAGCGGGCCCAGGGAGGCGAGGCCAGGCCTGGCTGAGGCGCCTTAGCCGCGGGCCAGTCACTTCGGGAGGGACAAACAGCAAGGCCTCGGGACCAGGGGCCCACCTCCCTCCCCTCCCTCCACCTGGGAGCAAACTGGCCTACATCACAGGCCTGAGAAGCCTGAGGGCCTGGGCTCTCACCTTCAGGCAAAGCCAGCCAATGGCACGCTGCTTAAGGCGCTGGGTCCCCACGGCCAGCTACGCGGCTGAGTCCTGGACCCGGCAGCTTAGGAAACACGCCGCGTGAAGTGCACCCAGAATCCCGAGAGGAGGGAAAGATGAAGACGGGATTGTGGCATGGCCACTGCCCACCGGGGTGCTGCTCCTTCCCAGCCCCCATGAGCCTCTCCCCACAGTGCACGTGCCCTCTGGCTCTTTCTTTTCTTTTCTTTTCTTTTTTTTGGAGAGGTTTTTGCTATAGGGCACGTGCACTGGACAGAAAGACAGAGACAGAGAGACAGAAAGCGAGAAATCACCCCCCAGGGGGGATGGCCACGCCGCAATCCGTTCTCCTCCATTCTCCTCTCGGGGTCTTGGGCACGCACGCACACGCGCCCGGCGTGAGTTTAAGCCACTGGGTCTGGGACGCGAACCGCAGTTGATTACGTGGGAGTCCAGCGACATAGCCATTATGCTAATTGCTGGTCCCTGGCTATTTTTTTTTTAATGCACCACGCAGAGTACCTTTTGATATATGAAGATTTGGAGAGCTTTGGGAATAAGAGTCCATGGGAACTGCCCTTTTCCTTCAGATTTTCCCATTTGTTTTACGTCTTCACAGACTTCACCCCAGGTTCTGGCTGCAAAGGCCTTTCTATGTCAGGGACGCCAGGACTGACTGGGAACTTGGGCTCTGCATCCCACCAACCTGAGCTCTGCCAGTCCTAACGGGCTCCGTGAGCCGGGAACAGGTGCCTTGGTCTCCCTGAGCCAGTTTTGTTGTCTAAGATGGGGGGTACTGCCACCCCCCACGGACTGTCACAGCATCAGATGAGACAAGGGGCACTCAGAGCCAGGCAAGCAGCCGGGAGCGGGAGCCCCAGGGTCGGCCCGACGTGCACACCCCACACATCTGCACACACCACCCCTTCCTGCCAACTCCTACACACCCTTCAAGGGTCCCGGCCCTCTCCTGCCTCTCTCAGAGCTGCTTTAAGAACACGTCTGAGCACGAAGCCAGAAAAGCCCCCCCTTCCCTGGGGCCCCTCCTTGAGATGCACACCGTGCTGGCTAGGCCTTCTGCACGCAGGCATGTCCCGGTGCCCAGAGCACACGTGGCATGGAGGCGACTTCCATGAAGGCTCGCGTGGCCCTGGGTGTGCGGCCTGCCCCCGGCGCCTGCTGACCAGAGCAGAGGCGTGCACCACGGCAACAGCAGTAGCTTGGTTCCAGCCACAGGAGGAGGAGGCCCAGCAGCCGTGAGACTGGCCTGCCCAGAGCGGACACCGTCCTCAAAGAATAACCAACCTGCTCCTCCGTCGTGCCCTCCAGGGGTCCTCCCTGGCTCCCTCGTTGTCCCCTGCCCCTGTGCCGAGCACTGCAGGACTCCAGATGTGGGGGAGGGTCTGCTGTCTGACACCCCCTCAACCCAGACACAGGGTCCACCTGGACAGTGAGGGTGACCTGGGTGGTGGGGGCCCCGGGTCACAGGGGCTGCCCAGCAGGCTCCCCACTGCCCCACCTCTCCCAGCCTGGGGCTTTGGGGCCCCCCTGGAGAGGGAGCAGAGCCCACGGAGGGCGGTCCTAGCCCCGGCGTGCCAGGACCCGTCTGGGGTCCACTGTGGTGGGATGTCCTCATCTCTGGTGCGGAGGCTGCCGTGGTGGCGCCACGGTGACCCTAGCCCAGCTGGGAGAGGACTGAGGTCACCAGGGCAGCCCCACGACTTGGCCTGGGTGGGCTTTTAGGGCAGGGAGCGAGGCCAGGACAGGGACAGGCAGGCACAGACACGAGCCACCTGCTCTGCTGTCCATGTGGGCCGACCAGCACCTACCTCACCGTGTGCCCGGTCCCCACATGAGCCGCCTAGGCCTCCGTTCCTGGACACCACCACGGCAGGAGGGACTGGAAGGGAGCCCAGCCCGGCCCTCCAAAGGCAGGTTCAGGCCCTGCTGGAGTGACAACCTCCCGGCTTTGTTTCAAAGAGACTGTCAAGAAGAGGTGCATTTTTTTTCTTTTCAGTTTCAGACAAAGACGTCAATTTCTTTCCATAAGGAAAGAAAATTAAATTTGTTTTTACAAGGGTGTCAGCACTCCGCTTCAATAGGGAGTCAGAGCGCATTGCTGGGGGCACCACCAGAGCCAGGTGACAAAGGACAGATCTGGGAGTGCTCAACTCAGGGTGGGCCCCACCTCAGCCAGGGCTGGGGAAAGGGCAGCGGCGGCAGGAGGATGCCCCGCGGGCAGTCCCCAGGCTACACCAGAAAGCCTAGCCAGCTGCTGCCGGAGGGAAATTCTTTGAGGTCCTTTTGCATGTCCAAGACAGGGCACTGAGGCTGCCTACTGCTGTGCCCCACCACCCAGCCAGGCTGCACTCACCCTGCATGTCCTCAGGGCCCTCTGTCCTCCAGGACCCGGGCCAGAGAGGCCAGAGCCCTGGGGACCCCCAGCGGAAGCTCTGCCTCTGGCCTCCAACCCTCCTACCCCCAGCCCCTAGGCATAAAGGCACTCACAGCTAGGATTTGGGGCCTCTGGGTCCCATTAGAACTTGGGTCTGGGGCCCTTCCGCACCTAAGGCCCTATCCCACTGTCCCCTCCTGGAGCTGGTGGTGCCACTCCACTGTCCTGTCCCAAGCCCCACTGGGACACAGTACTGGGGACATCAACGCTGAGGCCACCCTGCTGGCCCCAGGTTAATGAAGGGCTGCCTTCCTCACCCCCACTGCCCCCTCTCCCCATTGCATATTCTTTCTATTTATGAAGACGTCGACATGGACCCGACCTCTGAGAGCTGCGTCCTGTGCTGGAACTGCGGGGTGCCCCGCCCCCTCCGCCGCCCCCCACGACCCAGTCTTGGGCTATAGCTATGTAACCCGCGGCAGTACCCCATTCCGTGCATGCTGGGTCTGGCGGTTCCCCCATGGCCGGTCCGCAGCCCACCGCTGCCTCTCCTGGGTCCTGGGCCCCATCGTCCCACAAGCCCCGCTCGGGCTTAGAACTCGGGGCTGTCCCGGGATTCAGGCCGAGCCCCACCAGGGAGTCCATTCAGAAGCCAGTTCTAGGGCTGCTAGCTCCCCCTCCAGGCCCAAAGGCACCGCCCCGCCCGAAAGAGCACCCCAACCCGCGCACCCCCCGCCCCTCCGCCGGCTCCGCTCTGCTCTCCC